GACAGCTCAGACACACCGTTTTTAAAATGACATTCTTTGTTAATCCATTGGCAGAGTTTAAAATATAAAATTACTCGATGACTTTGATGGGATGTCTCTTTTCTACGAAATCGCTCACACTTTCACTTTGGTTGGTTGGTTTCAAGTGGCTGTGTTTTGGGGATCATATAGCATCTTTCTCTGGCACATGCATTTTGATTCTAAACAGCTGTGGCCACTGTGTTTTCCTTTCTTCTATAAGCAAACTGAGACTTGGAATTAAACTGAATGACTGATGTGTCTCTATCCATCCACGTATCCTGAGAAAGAAGGGAACACAGCCTGCTGCTCTCTCAACTGTGTTCTTCTAAAGTTACATTAAAAATAATACTGAAGTCACAGGGAGGCTTTAGATGTATTAGTTTTGATCTGAGTATGCATTTTAGAAAAAAATATAATTAAAGATTTTATATTTCCATGTGTACAACTCTTTTCACATAATCAGGGTCTTGACTTTTTTTAAATGTTATCTATAAGACAAATATTCTTTTTATTTTTTATTTATTGGTTTTAGAGAGAAAGAGGGAGAGAGAGAAACATCAATTTGTTGTTCCACATGCTTATGCATTCATTGGTTGATTCTTGTATGTGCCCTGACTGGGGATCAAACTCACAACCTTGGTTTATAGAGACAACAACAATCTAAACAGCTGAGCTACCTGGCCAAAGCAAGCTAAATATCTTTTTTTAAGGTGTACTACCTTTATCTATTTATGTTTTTTAAATCCTCACCTAAGGACATGATTATTGATTTTTTTTTTTTTTTAAGAGAGAGAGAAACGTCGATGTGAGAGAGAAACATGGATCGGCTGCCTCTCTTTTAGGGATCGAACCCGAAACCTAGGTATGTGCCCTGACCAGGACATGAATTTGCAACCTTTTTGGTGTACAAAGCACACTCCAACCAACCGAGACACCCAGCCGGGGCTGCAAACGAATGTTGCAGATGGTGATAAAAATTTTATTTAAATGTGGCTTCCAAAGAAAATGATTTCATATTTTCACCAATCTATATTTGTAGTGAAACCCCTGACCACTTTAAATCTGTTCTTCCCTACTATTTTCTAGCCTATGAAAGTATGAGAACAATTATTAACCTGTGAATAAAATAATAAAATATTGAATGCATGGATAACATATGTACCACTTTCACACATACTATCTCACTTGACAAAATTACAAATATCATTAACAGAAAGTCGGACATCTTTTATAGCTTTTCCTGATATCTATTATTCTTGTCATTGTCACTTTTTTGCCCGTCTTTTATACCCTTGAAATAATTAGAAACCAAAATGCCGAACCTGAATATTCCCTGAAGATGAACGTCATATCCTACATATATTCACAAAAATAATATGAAGACCCAAATTAACTGATTGTGAGAAAAAAAAAAATTAGAATAAGTGCCAATTATCCTTGAGGAGCTTTCTACCACGCAGGTACCAGCCCCATGGAGGAGGTGAAAATGAGATGAGGATTGGAGATAGGAGTCCATTTTCAACCGAAAATACACTCATTCTCGAGGCAAAATGCGGCTCCTTGAACTATTCTTAGACCAACACAATGTGTCAGGTGAACAGTAACAATTTAAATAAGTGAAAAAAGAAACGAAAGAAAGGGTGCTAAAATATCACTGAAATAGAGGGAAAGAATGATTGGAAACTTGAAAATTAGCCATTAAAATCTCTTCCTACAGATGAGCCTTGTTCGAAGTCAAGAAATAGTTTGAAATGATCACCAGTGGACAAACCAGTCATCCAAAGCCTACATGCAGCAGTGTGGTCGCACACAAATTACTAGGGACCCGACTTTGATGCAAAGGGTTTGTGTCATTGTCAAGTAATTTGGAGAAGTGGGCACTGCTTAGCCTTTAAGAATATTGAGTAATAAAGCTGAAATAAGCATGGCACTTTAAATACTTCATTAGAATTTTTAAAATCATAGTGGATATAATCAAATTTCATCTTTAGTTTATTCCAACTTCCCTAAGCTGTTTGAACTCAAAAGGGAACCCAGGATACGATGATTCCCAGTAACCTTCATCATGAAATTATAGGTCAGATGCATCTTGTGAAGTCACAACTTGCCTTACTGATAAATGTATTCCCTCTTACTGACATTGGCCGGGACATCTGACCATCTTTCTCACATATTATATGCCCAGGCCAGTTTTACCTGTTACATTGCTTCATACAGAGATACGGCTACATATTGTGGTCAATAGAATAAAGTAACCACAGCAGCCTTATGCTAAATAATGTGAATTTCACATAAATTCTCAAAAACAGTAAAGCTTAATCTAACTGACCTAAAGACACCAACTAATTTACGGAGGGGTTGGGGGGAATAAAATAAAGAGAATCAAAGTAGCTTTTTGGTTTGTGCTGATAAAACAACCAGGCACTTACCTGAATTTTTTATTTTCTACTGAACATAACATTTTAGGCCAAGTGCCTTCAAATTTCTTTGGCCTCAATCCACAGTGAGAAATACATTGTACATCACAGTCGGCACACACAAGCATGTATAATTAAAACAATTTTTCGGGAAACAAAACCCGACCTACTAAATATTATGCACTCTGATATTTTCTATTATATTCTTTTCCATCTTATTCCTTTAAGAAATGTTCTAGACTCACTAAACTGATTTCTTGAACCTCTGGGTCATAACAAGCAGCTTGAAAAAACTGCTTTCAGCCCCCAAAAGTTTTGATAACTACTGAAGAAAATTAAAGTTTCCTAGAAGGGTCTAATCAATTCTTTTATTTTACCCTGTGTTATTCAAACAGGAAAACTGAAAAGGGAAACATATTAAATGATATTTGATAATAATATTACATAAACACTTGTACAGACCCTTCTCTTTCTCCCTGTAATAAGAGGCAGAAGTCCAACAAAAGAAGAAAGATGTTATGGGAAATAAACTACAAGAAAAAAAAATCACCCTAAAACTGAATTTCCACATAGAATCCCACTTGTGTGAATTTTTCACTTTTTTAAAAAAAGTTCCATGTCAGTTATCATATTATTCTAAAAGTATTTGAATATCATCTACTGCACAAAGTTTAACACGGGGCACATTATAGTGCTATTATTTGCCTCTGGGATGATGAACATTTTTGAATAAAATGTGATCCCCTTTTTTTTTTGACCATGCTCACTTTGTAATTATTAGCAAGGCAGTAAATAATCCACCAAGGAGCAGTCTCATTAGTGCCCATTGAAATTCAGTGGCATTAATTTGCAATAAAAGAACTGAAAATTAATGGAAAAGGAAATAGTTTCTGGAGTCCATCATAAGGTTATGGAATTCACATCGTATCAGACCCTTCCTTCACATCAAAGAGTTTAAAAATGTGTGTGAATTAGATGTAATCGTTATATTTTATTCTAATACTTTTTTTTTTTAAGTGGGCAGAATAACTTCTTTTTCTCTTCTCATTTTAACCCTGAAATAAAACAAGTAAGATGAATTTGAAATATGCTTTATAAAGTTTTGTTCTTTTTAAAGTGTTTAAAGTGTTGCTAGTTGATTGTCTTTTAAGTAATAACTCAGGCTGGACTTGTTTGGCTGTGGGTGCCCTAACATCCTTTGAGGAGGCTGGAGGATAGTGGGTAAGTACAGATACCCCAAGAACCTGCCCTTCCAAGTCCAATCTTCACCTCCCTCCTGTCTCTTCTGCTATAAATACCTCCGGAAATAGAACACTGATGAGGAATGGTCCACAGTTTGCATGCAGAGGGTCTGGGTGAGGGTGGACACCCATCGGACAGCACTACACAGTCACAATGCCTAACTCTGCACCCAGCCACCCGGGTCCCCAAGGCTTCCCAAACGCGCGCCAGGTTATCCGTCAGGTGGGGTCCAGGGCACAGCTTTTCACCAGAAACACCAACCCAACCCCTCCCCAAGTCCATCAGGAAGAGAAAGGAGAAACTATCAAAGGGAAAATGGGAGGGAGGAAGGAGAAAGAAACTATATTCTCTACCAGTAAAAAAAAGTAAGGACACAAAACATTTGCCTCTTAAGTCGCAAGTGTCCCTGCGTGTCCCGAAATGCCAAGGCTCTTCCCCAGAGGTGGAAAGGGGCAGAGGAGCTCAACCCGCACCCGACTCCTGGGACATTTTTGCCTAGTGGACCTGAAACGTGATTCAGCTGGCAGGAGGGTATTTCGAAAACCCTCGCGCTTCCACATGGCATGTTTCAAACTCACAGGAGCCAATAAAGTTCTGGCTGTGATAAGTCATATACCAGCAACCTGCTCCAACAGGACCCGGCTAGATAACTCGGAAACCGGAAACTTCAGACCCATTCAACTCTGTGCTCTCTGAGGGGTGAAGTTCAATCAAACCCTGAACCCGGGCTGGGAGGAGGATAGTGGATGCTAGGAATCGCTTCCCCAGAAAAATCATCATCACCATCATCATTATCATCATCATCATCGCATGCATATTTCCAATCCGAAATTCTAGATGAAAGGAAATTGTTCGAGCACATGAAAACAAAATTTAAAAATAAGAATAAATAAAACTGAGCTCCCCTAACCCCAGCCGCCTCCAGCCTTGAATACCAGAGTGGGACATTTACTAGGGACTCAAAGCGCCTTGTGTTCATTTGCTCTGGGGTGTTTCTCCCCACAAATAACTGCTGCTTTGTAAGGTTTTCCAATATTTGTTTGGTTAGGAAGCACACGAGGTTTCGGATCTGACTCTCAGGCAGACAGTAGTGGGGTGGAGAAGAAATTTTTTTAAGCTGCCAAGCTAGAGAACTTGACTCTCCAAAGCGAGATCCACAAATAACCCCGGGCGGGGCTGCGCGCGAGCCCTCGGTGGCGTGTCGGCTGCTCAGGCGGTGGGTTGCGGTGCCAGCCCCGCGGCCCGCCGCCTCCCCCTGGCTCCCGCCCGCCCGCCCCCCGCCCGCCAGGCGCGTGGCCACGGACGAGGCAGCGCAGGTACCTGTAGAACGCAGGAGGGCCGGCCTCGCGCACCGCGTAGCCGTTCGGCTCATTCTGCAGGTAATAGGGCACCTGCTGGCCGTGGGGGTGCAGGAAGGGCGAGAGCTGCGGCGGAGGGTGCAGCAGCACCAGCGGGCTTGGAGACACGCTGTTGAGCGGCGGGTAGCTCCCCAGGCCGTTGGCGCCGAACGCGGCGGCCTCGGACCCGGGGCCGTAGGCGAGACCGGACTGGCCATAGACGGGCGCGGAGGCGGCGGCCGCGGCGTTGAAGTCGTACGCGGCGCCCTCCGGGTAGTTGTAGACCGCCGGCTTGCTGCTGTCCAAGTACACCTCGCCCAGGGGTCGCTCCAGAGGGATCTTCAGCTGTGGGCGATTCAGGGGCTCCAGCTCGTTCCCTTGGATCTGGTGCAGCAGGGCCATTCCGGACGCTTTGGTGTGGAGGGTCATGGTCATGGTCAGCGGCCGCGGGCAAGGTGCAAACCGTCTCCCCGCACGGCAGAGGGCTCAGCAGCCGACAGGCCACCTGAAAGAAGACAGCCCGCGGTTAGAGGCGGCGCAGCGCATGTCCCGCGGCGACGCGAGCCTGGCTCTGTCCCGGGAGCCTGCGCGTCCCCCGGATCCCGGAGGCCGGACACCAGCAAGTGCGGCCAACTTCCTGGGCCCCGATCTTCAACTTTAAGTACGGGTGTCCCGGGCTCATATGCATTACAAAGGTGCTGGAAGCCGGCCAAGGACTGTTACCTTGCACTGACATTGGCTTAAACATCACTTGGGACGCAACTCGTTTTGGAGCGACCCCAAGAGCAGCTTCCCTGAACTTGACTTGTTACTGCTGGATAGAGGCTGAACTGTATTGCAGAAGGGCGGAGGCGCAGAGGGATCTCCTAAAGGTGGCCCGGGGAAGACGGTGTTTAAAATGAACTTGGAAGACTAATAGGGACCAGCGTTCTCTAACTTGCTGTCTTAATGTGCCGGGTGCCAGACTCCAATCTATCTCTGTTTGTCTGTCTTATTGTTTGATTCACTCTCCTTGTTGGCTGGAACTATGTACTGTGTACATAGAATGACCCTGGGGAGGACCACTCTGTAACTGAGATATGGAGACAGGATGGGGTGTGGGGTCGCATATGCAGCCAGCCTCAGACAGCTATATTTAGCAGCAGCTGCAGGGACTATAGGAGACATCTGCGTGGGGAGGGGGCGGGGGGGGGGCAGAGAGTCAAGGTGTTCATATAGGAAGAGCTGTATTTTGCAATCAGGAGAATATTGACAGACCTGTTTCCTCATGCAAAATTCTCCCAAAGTGGCCCCTTCCAGCTACAACCTTCTGTGATTCTCCCAGCCCCCAACTTGTATATTTGGGTTGGACCACGGTATTGTATTTGCTCCCATTAGGAATTCTCTTGTGAATGATGATTTCCAAAAACCTCTGGGGAGGGGCACAGGGGTGTTCATGCCTTCCACAGGTCATGCAACTAAAACTTCAAAAAATTGAATATGAAATGTGACCTTTTTATACAAAAGGTAACCTCTGGTTATTAACCACATCTTTGGCAATTATGTCACACTGTTGGTCTAGCCTACAAATTTTAAAATGCAGTGATAGGTTTCTGTTCTTTAATCCTACAATTGAACTTTCTCAGTTCATATGGGCTAGGACACCCAGAATAAAATACTCAGAAGAAAAAAAAAAATGAGAAAAGTTTTGAATTGAATTAAAAACTAACACTATATATATATATATATATATATATATATAAAACACTATATATAGTGATATATATCACTATATATAGTGTTATATATGTATAGTGATATATATGTGTGTATATATTTTATATATATTTATAAATATATATATTTATATAAATATATATATAAAATTATGCACCCATAATCTTGGATAGTTTATACTTTTTAAAAAACTTCCTTTGCCCCAGCCTAATAGATTGATACAACTATTAATACTTTGCTTTATTGCAATCCCAAACATTCAACATAGTATCTAACAAAATGTTTATGGCATGTATAATAAATGTCAAGGTTGCTATTACTAATGGTAATATTTTTTGATATCTGTATACTAATAAGTGTACATTTTATCTAACTCTTAATAAGAATAGACAGATCATCTGGAGACAATATGCAGATGTAGCTGATTTAACATGAAGCCAAAATTGAACTTGGCATCAATAACTATAGATTGCAAGCAAAGAAAGGGTTAAAACCACATTAGGTGAATCACAGATATTCCTCTTTATGGCCAGCAATCATTACTTTCCAAAGCAATTTTTTTTGCAGATGATTTTGTTTCCGTAAATCACACTTTCAATTTTCAAATGTCTTTTTTAAACCCATGCAAAAGCACTTCGTAGGGCTCTTTACAAATCTGAACCTGCCAAATTCTATAGAAATTACACAAAGAATCCTACAAGTCCTGAGAGCAGAAGGAGATGCACACAGAAACCCGTGGAAAACAGCAAATCCTCCTCTCCCTGCTAGGATACAGACACTGGTCAGAAAGGTAAGTTGCTTTCTCAAAATGCTAAAGCTGTGAAGAGAGAAATCAAAACAATCCTACCCTGCTGGATCAAGAGCGTCTTTCCAGAAAGGTTCCATGGGCCCGCAGAAGTCAAGAGCTGACGACAGTGAGAATGGAGGAAGGAATGTGCTCGCATGTGCGTGTGGCTCCGTGTGAGCGAGGCAGAGCGTGTATGGATGTGTTTGTGTGTGGAATGGCAGGGATTCGGGAAGCAGCCAGTAGGCAGGGCACTTGGCAGCCCCTCCCGGCAGACACAGAAGCGGGGCTGCTGCACAGAGCTAGATGAATGGCCCTGAGGACTGAGGAGAAGCCTGCTGTCTGCTCATGGGGTGCAGGGTGGCACAGCCCGAGTCAGCGTTCTTGAGGGGAAGCAAAACTCCAGCCCTTTCTGCTCCTGATCCTTGGAGCCTGGAAAGGGACCCATGCTTTCTGCTGCCATCCTAAGCAAGAGAAAAAACAGACTTGCTGTAAATCATGGGCTTATGGCTAAAATAGAATGCCAGTCAAAAGTGTATGGATATCAAGTTTACAAAATGTGACATGGGCGGTTTTTCCTAAAGAATATAATTTAACAATAAAAGCCTTCTGGGATACACTTGGATCAAGTGCCTTGCTGGCCCAGCCCCCTGTCTTTCTGAACAGACACACTATTGCCATGCCTCCGATTGCACCAGGAAACCAGACTTTGGAATAAATGTTTTGGCATTCTAGGGATGTGTTTCCAAGTGAAATGTAATACTCCTCCACCTCGTTAACCAAACCCACAAACCTTTCCATGAATAGCTCAGTTGACTGCTTTCTGTAAACATATGAAAAAATATATATTAAAAGCTAGGGCATAAAGATAAGACAAAGGTGGGTACCTTTGTTTTAAACTGACCGTAGGCTTTGTGACTGTATTGGCATTGATCACGGGGAGGGGAGTCTCTCCTTTCCTGATAGTGCCCGCATGGATCTAGCCAGCCCTGAACTTTTCTCTTGACCATGGGACTAAGACCCAACAATAAGGTGTTCCCAGTTTGCCTTTGCCCAGGGTCCCAGGACACATGACTCCGAATGGAGATTCTGTTGCCAGACATTAGTCATTGTCTTGGGTATTAAATGACTAATCACAATGCCAGGAGTGGCCGGTCTCTGGCCCTGAGACCCTATGCAGTTACAGAGAGATTTATGAGTGGCTCTTGAGACCAGTACAAGGAAACAAGGAAAAAGTTACAAAAATATTAATGATGTCATATTGCAAACATATATTTCCTGCTATGAAAGACCTAAAGTATTGCAATGTTGGAGCACATAAGGCTTCCCTCCTCAATCAGCACTAAAGACGAATGTCAAAAAGAAAGACAGATATTCTTTGTAGGTTGACAGTGGGAATCCTGACTACTCCTTTAGTTCAACATTGGCCACCCATGCTCAAGGTCCATCCAAGATAAACAGAATGTACACGGAAGGAAGGAATGGGAAGAGAGCAGACGGAAAGGAGGGAGGAAAGAGAGAGAGAGAAAAGGAAGAAAGGAGAGAAGGAAAATCACCAGTCTCCTTGAACATAGGAAGGATAAGAAGTCTAGCATTCCCTTTGCAGACCTTTGAGTATTTTGAGACTGACAATCAGCATTAATCCAATTAAGGCAGTTTGCTTGAACAGTTTCTCTCTATCAGTCTCTTTCCTCTTCTGGGTAAGATTTGTCCCCGGGCTTGGTGACAGTGAGGGCGAGGGGAACACGGCACCTTGCCAGTTTTCTTCTAGTGCTTCTGGTGTCAACCTCTCAGTCCAGCTCCCTTTCTACACTGTCATGCTGGGTATGCTGAACCCCTGCCGTGACTTAACAGTCCCCCAAGTGAAGAAAGATAAAGTCTACCTCTCTAGCTCCACCGCCCAGTGTATCTCCAGACCCACACTTGCAGTGGCCTCCTGTGCGTTGCCAGCTTGTTTGAACCTGATTCCTCCTTTCCCCACCCACATGAAAGTCTCACGGTCTTCCTAGAGTGCTCCCCAATGCCTGAGCTTCCCGCTTTGCCCTCTGTCCCTCTCTCTTTCTCGTCTATCACCTCTGTCAGGTGCTCCAGTCTGTAAGAGCTCATGGTCCGCTTCCCTGCGTGAAGAACCTTCTCGGGACCTCTGCCCCTTCCCTGCCCCGACTCCTTCCTAGATCCTGCTGCCTTTTATGGCCTTGGTTTCTACAGATTGGGGATCCATCTTCCTTGATGTGCTCACCCTTCACCCAGCTCATACTTCCCCAGGATTTCAGGCCCTCCTTTCTGTCTATAAATTGATCTTGGCTACTGTATCTGCCTCATGTGTAGCTCGTCCTTCAAGCAAATGAAAGCTTGAGACTCCAAGCACTCCATGCCCGCCTGATGACATTCTCTCTGCTTCTGACCCCGACTGTGCTGGCCGGTCAGGGGAAAGCATACCATTTTTGAAGGTCTAGCCAAAAGGCCACCACATCTATAATGCCTTTCTTATTCACAGGGAATTTCCTCTCCTCAGAACTCCCATGGAATTTCTCATGCATGTATTACATTCTTCCTTGAATTCGTTATTATTATACAGGGTGGGGCAAAAGTACATTTACAGCCGTGAGTATGCAGAATGGATTTTATCCTTGCATTATTATTTATTAATTATGGTATTATTTTCCATGCCAACGACTGTAACCCTCATTTTGCTCAGAAGCTCTTTGAGAACAGGGCGGGCATAGAGTTACCTGAGGATGCTTTGAGTGCCTAGCACTGAGCCCGGTCATATTAGGTCATTGAACATTGGCTAATGCATTAATCCAAATACTTAATAAGAGAATAAAAGAATATAACATCTATCTGGATAACCATCTCCTAAAGCTAACTTTCCATGTAATGTTCTACCATTTTCAAAATTGCTTTTGCAAAAAGATTGTCTTTGTACCCTCAAACTGACTCAGGCCGTAAAGTCAAAATTCAGATCCGTACGATCTTGAGGATAAGGTCTGCCATTCTTGGCAGCATGATTCACAAGAGAGCCCTGAATTTTTAGTTCGGAACCAGATAATACTATGACCAAACATAGTTTCTGCTCTAGTTCCATTAAAAGCTTTTTACATTTACAAAAACATTATTCCTCCAACAGAAACACAAAAATAAATAAATGTGGACATATTTCCAAAATAGCTTATACTCCTAGAAATGGTTCCTTCACTCTGAGACATGAAGGCCCAGCTATTATTTTTATTACAACTGCTCTGTTTGGGAGCTTGTCCTACTGCACTTATTTGACACCAACTATTTTCCCCTAAAGTGGAAGAAAAATGAAGAATTTCCTTTTAAGTTTCTGCTCATTTTAAAAATAGCTCAGCCTATTTGTTTTAAGGACTTTTGATTAGCTTACAGGCTTTTTTCAACTGACCTTCGATTTTTGTTTTATGAGGTAAAAATTTTTATGCAATGAAATGCACATGTCTTACATGTAGAGTTTGATAAGTTTAGATAGAAGAATATGCCCATATAACAACCACCTCAGTGAAATCATAGAGCATTTCCATCACTTCGAGAAAGTTCCCTCCTAGCCCTACAGGCCACCACTGTTCTCATTTCTATCACCATAGATGTGTTTGCCTCTCAGCCCAGAGTGCGGACCACCTAGACCCCATGTCCAACCAATGACGCAAACAACCAGGTGCTAGGTTTGTACAAAGCTCTCGTCTTGCCCGGCCGGAGTGGCTCAGTGGTTGGGCGTCCCATGCACCAAGAGGTCGCTGTTTCAATTCCTGGCCGGGGCACATGCCCAGTTTGTGGGCTAAACCCACAGTGGGGGGCATGCAGGAGGCGGCCAATCGATGTTCTCTTTCATTGATGTTTCTATCTCTCTCTCCCTCTCCCTTCCTCTCTCTCTAAAAGCAATAAAGAAAAAAACAAAATTAAAAAAAAAAAAAAAGCTCTCCTTCTCTGTCAGACCCCTCTCCCTGGGAACAGCTCTCTCCAGGCCAAAGAATTATTCTAACACTCTATTCATAAGCCTTTTTAATAAACAGGCTTTACATGATCAAATGTTACCTAAGCCTGCAACGAGGCAGGTTCACAAGAAGCCAAATGGAATCAGATTCTTAAACAGCCTTTTCTTCCCACCACCACTCCAAAAAAAATTTTTTAATGATTTATAAGCCGAGAATCAAACCCAAGATCTTTACTTTCACAAAACCTAGGACCTTGATGCTATTTTCTGGGTTCCTATCCAGGACATGATAGAGATAGCTTGAATGCTTGGTCATCAAGCAGAATGGCTACTCTTCACTGTGAAGCAATGAGTGGCTTAGATTTGATTTACCAGCTTAATAGAATTGAGTAACTTTCATCTTACATTTTCTTTAAAACTTATGTTTTCAATACTGTAGAATGTTTTTCTATAACTTACCTATATTGCATGTGGCAGAAAACAATTTAGAAAGTACTTTCACTATACGTACCATGAGTGATGAAAGAATTTCAATTATTTCAATTATTATTACACTGTGTCCCTCTTCCTCCCTTTATCTGTTGTTTACTTGAAGAATCTCATTGCCAGCTTTGGGTATTATTTCTCTGTAGACACCAATATCCAGATTGTGCCTAAAATTCATGTTGATAAAAATAATCCTATCTAATGTTAGGGAGGGCATTGACACGCGTGCGTGAGCACACACACACACACACACACACACACCTAGTAATCAACCAAGAACCCACCTTACCCAATTTCAGAACCAACTCTAGTCAATTGTTAAAAAAAAAAAAAAAAAGATTTGTATATTTTGAGCCTTTCGGGTCTTTCTTCCTACTTGGTCACCACACTCATCTGGATAATTGGTTCCCTCCCACTCTCCCTCAGCACCCACGACCCCCATGCCAGCCAGCGGTCCTCTCTGCTCCCAAGCCCCTCAGCTGCAATCGTACTGTCTCAAGGAAGTGATATATTTATGAGCAGGCCAAGGAATGACTCATTTATTCAATTCACTCAAAAAATACTGATTACCTACTATTTACCATGACTATTTTTTTCCTTTTCTTTCCCTTTTTTCCTTAGTATATTTGTATTCTACGGCTACATCACCAACTGCCACATATGTTGCAGTTTAAAACAACATGTATTTATCATCTCACAGTTTTGGTGGGTCAGGAGTCTAGACACAGCTCAGCTTGATCT